GAGTACACGGTTGATTAGGCGCTTTATCGTCCACCTCCCACCTAACTCCAAATGTCTCCCATGTTCGTTGTTATTTGATTAGTTTACCATTAAACACTGTATTTTTCACTAGTTAACTTGACGAGTAATTTCTAGTCGTACATCCCCTCTTGTACACAATCATTTTTTAACCTATATTTATAGAGAGAGATTGAGAGTGATTTATCGGACTGTTAGCCATGTTTAGCTGCTTCAATCCTCTCGTGTTTGGTCAACGGTATTTAGTTTTCAGAGCTTACTTTAAATTACAACGGGTTTGATTTCATTATTATAACCCTCATTGGATTGCTTTATTTTACAATGAAACTGACTAATAATTTTATGCATTTCATAAGAATCTCTTGGTATTCTTTCAAGCTACAGTAATAAGGCAGACTCTCTATCAACCTGTTACTTACTGAATCTATATTACCATCTCTTTCATATCTAAAGTACTCTTAATACTTTATCTGCTTATCTCGTTCGCTTTCGGATTGCGATCTGTAACTAGAAGAAAATTAAGTATATCGAATGTTTGACCTTCGTTCTGTCTTTTATGATACCTGCCAAACGCTCCTCTGGTTCCAAATTCTGGCTTCTACCTATATACCGGTTATACGTAATCCTATATTTATAAGAAGTTCTTATTTTAGCACTTTTTTACACCTGTGGGAACCAAGAGAGTATGTTGTTTTTGATGGAATTTCGTTTTCTGGTCTGGGTTGTTTAGTCGTAGAGCTTTCATCGTTCTGCGGTTTGTGATGATGATGTTGTTCAGAAGAACGATAAAAGCTCCACGACAAAATCATCCATCTCACAGAACAAAACTCCATAAACCTCATCCACCTGAGCTACAAATCTTTACCAAATCGGAGTATTTTTTCCTCTTTATTGAACAAAATTTTACGCATTAAATTGATAATTTGTAAACAAAGAGAATCTGGTTTTGAACAGCATTTATACGGATCTTATACAAAATGGGTACACTCCTCCACAGACTGTTATGATAGGCTAAGTTGCAAGTGCAGGCCCTAAACAGTCAAGACAATGAACCTAAGAAATTAGATCGCTAGTTAACGAACTTTGAAACCCAGGGGCTAGTAAGAATGATAATTTATATATACCCAATCTCACAATAGGTGTATAGAACATCTAATATTACGAGTACGTCGTGAAAACTATCATATGTGACCAAATAAGTGAGCAGTTTCAGAACATTTAATCTGTACCTTTATTTCATTCACCGACTCTTTTCGAATCTTAAATAATACAGAAGACGGAAATGGCCAATAACATAATAGAAAATATACGAAAAAGTATAGACAAGGTACTACAAAGGACACTTCAAGCGTGAAACAAACAAATTTCGACTGATACTACCTCTAGATGAGGTAAAAACATAAACTTATCATAGGTAGGAGCAGCTGGATGAAGATTTGGTTTGGTTGTTCCTAAAGCTGTCGAATTCGAACCCCTGCAGCCAAAAACACACCAACACAAAATCCACAGATATGGTAGTGGAGAGGCTCAAAGGTGTTGTGTCATGTATAAAAAATCATCAGCTATGAATGAGTGACCATGTATGAAGTGAGAATTATGCGAGAGATGCACGAATTGCCGAATTGCGCATCAATGTTAATACACACTCCTTACAAGTAGAGGGTGGGCTTTATCTTCCGTGAGGCAGAACAATCTTGTTATTCGACAGCAATCTGAACCGATAACCACCCAAATGATGTACTATGTGAGTGGAAAACGAAAAATCTCTCAAAAACCTAGCGGCTACAAGGAGCTTGTTCAATTCTGATTCTGCAAGCAGCAAACTAGAGCGATAGCAGAAAACAAGTCGAAATGATCAACGTAATATGCGTGACGACAGAGACACCTAATAGAAATGTTGGATCTAAAAACAAAAACGGAATTACCTTACATGTGAAGTTGGATTGGAATATTTTGGCTTATAGTAAACATATACACGCAATAAAACCTTTGTTTGTGAAAACATTATCTTTCAGTATTTGATAAAAATGAGTAGTCCATAATTATAGGGTATTTTCACCCTTATTTAGTGCATGAGGGCTGAGCGTGATGTTAATCATCTGATGCCTACGACAAATGCTTTGGACGGACTCTATATTAGCGCAGTAAAGTTTCGCGTAAAAGGATACTAAGTAAGAGCTAGAGCTTGGGACGAAATCACTAGTCAAAACTGCGCTCTTATATATAGCATTCACTGAAAAAGTGGGCTGGAAATAACTCAGATGCATATTTCCTAAACATTAAGATACATATGTGATTGTAATGTTGAACAAATCGCTCAAGTGGTTTCGTAAGTCTGCCATGTTGATGCTGATGTCATCAGTTTTACTGAACTCACCGCTAGCCGAAGTCGTTTTGGGATCCTTGAATAAGTAGAGATTTTGAATGACAGCGTCAAAAGCTTTAGGAGCTAAGATGCCTTTAAAGGCACAACGAGTTATAAATGGACTTTTGACTTATTCATTTGTTTTGTGTCTACCACATGAACTCAGATCATCGCTAACAAAAGTATTATAAAAAGACCATCTGTTCAGTGCTTGTGGCACCTAGTGTAGCTACGATAGGTTCGAATGTACAACATTCCAGGAAGTATGAAAATACGGGAGAACATCCAATCCATTTTAGGAGGAGCTAAAATTTAGATTGATACGACTCTTGAAAATCGGAACCCTCATCATTCCAGATCTAACGTCTGGAAATCAAACATACAAGATATCATGCACTCAGCATCGTCAGTTGATTGGAAAGTAGATTCAGAGTCCTCAATGTAAACGGCTTGGGATGTGTGATATATTTGGGTTACTGAGGACTGATGAGACAAAACCTTAGTATCAAAAAGCTCGGAATACCTGTGCCTCGACTCTCCGTAAGTCTAGAAGGTTGTACGAAGAGAAAACTGTCAAAGAATCCATAGAATGCCCTGAACGATTGTATTTGTATATAAACCAAAGGACAAAAAGAAGAGGAAATATTACTGCACTCTGGAGAGAAAGTACTGCTTCATCTGTAATGGAAGATGACTTTGGTAAGGCTTAATTATTCTTAAACTACTTTAGCGACGTATATACAATAGAAGCACCCTTCCTGTCAGTTCACAAATCCCCCCACACAAACACTGGACAGAGCGATCATTAAGGTGAGTACTTGTCAGAGGAAGAGCTTAAAGAGAAGGTAAGCGGTTTATGGTCAATGAAAAGGGGAAATTCACGGTTTTCGATAAAGTGTTGAAAATGTCGTACAGCACAATACATAGCAAGGAGTTCCCTATCGAATGTGCTGTACCTCGATTCAGTATCTAGCAACCGTCTAGAGGAAAATGCCAAAGGTTGCAAGGAGTTGTTAACCCATCGTTGTAAGACTCCTCTGACTGCTGAGTCTACTGTGATATTAATGGGTGCTTGAGTGTCCTGATGTGCAAGCGTTGTTGCTTTGGCAATAAGTTCCTTAACTTTGGAGAATGCTTTACGCGCTGTGTCGTTCAAATTGATGGATTTCGCATCTCCACGAAGTTGGTCGGTTAGCGGTTTCATAAGTAACACACATTTCGGTAGGAACATCTATAGAAACTTACAAGGCCGTTAAATGTGCGTGGTGGCTTGATGGTGGTCGGTCCTTTGTAATCCATAATGGCCGCCACTTTGGTTCTGAGGGGTCAAACGCCTTACGCATCTATGGCGTGTCCTAGGAAGTCTAATGAGTCAGTTCTGATTCGGCATTTCTGAATGTTTGCAGTGATGCTATGTTTCTGTAGTCCATCGAAAACAAGATCCAGATGCTTAAGATGCGATTCTCTGTCCGGACTTGCTATTAGACAGTGGTCAACATACGCATGTACGAATTCGTGACCTCGAAAAACGTCGTCTATAAGCCTTTGGAAGATTTGTGCAGCGTTTGTTAGACCGAAGGGCATTCGCAAAAATTTTTAAAGTTCGAAAGGAGTTATGATAGCTGTTTTCGGTATGTCGTCAGTGGCCATGGGAATTTGGTTATACGCTTTAACCAACTCGATTTTCGAAAAGACAGTTGTGCCTTTCAAAGTAGCTGTCAAATCGTGAATGTGAGGCAACGGGTAACGATCGGGAATGGTTTTCGCATTCAATCGCCGATAGTCACCAGTTGGACGCCAATCGTTGCTATCCTTTTCAGGGATCATGCGCAAAGGAGATACATATGGGCTATTTGACGGTCGCATGATTCCTAAGTCTATCATGTGATCGAACTCGTTTTTCGCCAACCTTAGCTTTTCGGGGGCTAGTCGTCGTGCTTTAGAGAATACAGGTGGTCCTGTAGTCGTGATGTGATGTGTAACGTTGCTGGTTACACACGGTAGTTTCGGTTGCGTTTGCTGAATCCCAGGATACTTATCGAGTAGTGGTTGATAAAGTGGGTCTATCATACGCTTATTTGTGACTGGAAATAATCTGCAACCAGAAAAAGAAGTTACGCAAACTGATAAATTAGTGTTTCCGTCTACTAGCCTCCGTTTGCGAGTATCGATGATTAGATTATGGTGTTGTAGAAGGTATATACCAATGATTGACATAGAAAAATCTGCAACAACGAAGACCCAGTGAATGGGTTTGTGTAAAACCACGTTAAGGTAAACGTACCTTTTGCCATACGTAGCGATAGGCTTTCAGTTTGCCGCCTCAGCACGCGGCTGAGGCTCCACCCGTCGACTCTTTCAAAAGGAAGTCGGGTTAACTTAGAGACCACCATCGCCAGGACTAACACAAGCCATCAAGCCTCCTGTCTTTTCAAAACTGAAACTGAAACTTGTGACGAAGATATTGTGTAGTGGAATCTAGACAGTGCGAATTTTCTTTCGTCAAGGACATTTGGTGACCTTTCGCGACTGGTGGCTTGTGGTGGCTATAAAACCTCTTTTTTGTACTAAGTTTTATTCCTTTTCTGGTGATTTAACTATCGAGCTTTCTACAAAAAATGTTCCGAATGTCTATTTTTAAATTTTTTTGCACTTTAAAAAAAGTAAGTTTTCGAAAAATATCTTGCTATATGTAACGACATAGAACTGCACATATAACATGAAAGACGTTTTATTTAGAAATGTGGCTCTGGATGATGTTTTTTGTCCTAATACCTCGTTGAAAATCTTAATCTGCGCATAGGTTTATGTTGAGTTCATCGTTAATTCACATAAGAGTTGTGCTTTCATAAGACAACATCTACTCTCTTGTCTTTAAATAGGCTTTATGTCATCTGAATTCTGCTAACTACACATCTGTGACCTTAACTCAATTAATTTAAGTCAATGCACATGAAAAGTCTTATCAACACAATCGAGGTCGGCAATGTATGTAGCTATTTGTGTTGAGTTTTGTCTTTTTCCGCAGGTGAATTACGTTCAGTTTTATATTCTGAATTTATGTACCTTAAGCCTTATTTTTACTTTAGCGTTATTTTATTTGATCATTTTAAAGTCGGGCAATGCCAGGCTTCCCCTTTTTTCCGGAAAATAGTTCTTCACCTTTGCTTATTTCTAATCTTCTATTCAGTCAAGCCCAAGTCCTCTTTTGTTAAAGCATAATGGCATTCAACCGATTGATTACTTCAACTATTTATTTAAACACATCAACGTTTGCAAAAGAAGGTACTAAATATTTATTCACCACACCCCATCATCTGATTTGTGAGGGCCGGAATACTGCCTGGGAACCCAAACCAAGTTGGCTGGTAATTTTTTGGGGACCATACCCCGAACGTTTGACCTAGTAATTTAATCCACAAGGCAGTGAGACAACGTTAAGATATGTGTTCCCATGGTAGCTTTTCGTCCTCACAATCTCATGAACATCCCCGCGGCTATAAGGCGATCTGTAGGAGTTCCCTTGCAATGGTTATATTCGTGTGGCTATGTGAGAATTTTGAAAGGGAGAGCGGACTCTCCCTGCTCTCGACTATATCAAGGAATTTTCGATCCCATTGATTGGGATTCAGTTATGTACAGTTTTACAGTTCATATAATACGACCATTATTCTGTATCGTCATCGAGTGTCCATGTCACACAGAGCCTGGTCGACTTCGTCTTTTACAGCTTATCGTTAGAACTTCAGTATTGTCGTTGTAGTGTAAATTAGTTTTAAGCACTGGATTACCACTCAGTGCACTGTTTATAGGATTTACTATTGTTGTAACCACATATTTTCTGTTCATGGCATTACACATAGGTTAAGTAGTTTGTCAAATAAATAGGATTATTCCTCATGATTATATCGCAATAGAGATTTTTCCAAAACAAATTTAATTCTAATCGCAGTGGTGAAACGAGAGAAATAAGACAAATTCAGAATACTGCGTTGTTCAGAAAGTGATTTTTCAATGAAAGGATACATGCATCGATTTGGTATCCTTAAGTTACTTGATATTGATTCAAAACATTTCTTGAACCTACACTAGAACGTATACGATTCCGTTTCGGAGCATATATTAACGATTTATGACGTCACAAAATGATTACTTTCCTTGACTTTTATTAGTTTTCCATCCTACCTTAACAATGATCCATTTTCAAGGTGGACCCTGAATGAGGTTTCAGGATGTTTCGGTTTCTTTATTCCATATTTGTTCACAACTTTGTCGGTGTACTTACAATGACTTTTGCCTAATATTGGCTGTATTTAATATTAATTATCCTATAAGTAGTACTTTCGTGTTATTAACCTAGTCTCTGATTTCTTGTTGCAATCGATATAATATGCATTCGTATGTCATAATAATCACCCATTAATAAATATTTCAGTATTATCGTATTCACCTTAATTCGAATAACATTAAGTCTGCTGATAGTGTTTTTTAGTAACCGTTTCGAGATTTAAATAACTACCAATTCACAAAAGTCTGATGCTATTTAAACAAACGTAGTGACCGGCAGTATCGTATATCCAACTAAATTATGTTTAGTATTTACACCTTAGGTTCTGATAAGTTAATTTCTTTTTATTTATTTAAAATAGACAATGTAAAGTAAGCTGCTTTTCATATATGACTAGTTTCATATTTTCAGATGCAAGTGTACAACAATAAAGAAAAATATTTCAAATACATTGAAAAACATTCAACACTTTTCGGTTTTCTTCTATATCTGATTGGACTGATATGGTTTTGTCTTTTGTCTCAAGATGAGCTCAACTATAAAACCTATATGAGTGAGAATGCCCTACTTATTGGTATGTTCATTAATCATGTAGAAAGATTTCTTCGTAGGTCAGGTGAATGAAATCTTTGATGATGTTTTTTCCTCTGTTGAATTTTATGAAGAATCTAAGAAGGCATTTAAATCTAATGAGATGTAAGTAACAAATTAATGTATTTGTAGATAAAAAATATTCAGTATTGGTTTAAAACAATGGTTATCTATACAGCTTAGCACAATCGGTCTAGAAGTTTATTCACAGAATTTCAGTTTCTCTCATGATATACTTTCGCCTTTAAAGGTATGGCAATTTTTTCCATATAATGCTATAAAATTTTTCTAATACAGTCAATTAATGGATCGAATTTATACGGCATTATGAGGTCACCAAGTGGTGGTCGAACTGAAGCACTTGTGATTATTACGTCATTAGGTGATAATCCAACTTATTTTGGAAGTCTTGCTTATGTTTTATCCCTGAGTAAACTGTTCAGAAGTAATTAACATTTCGAAAGTATATGATTTAACAACTTTTCAAATTTACAGATCAAATACACTGGGCTAAAGATATAATCTTCCTGTTTCCGGAATATGAATATATTGGTTTGATGGCATGGCTTGAAGCTTACCATGGGACCATAAATTCAGACAGCAAGTTTACTTTTAAAAGTTATCCTTGCAATGTTTTATTATTAAAGCAGTTTGCTTTTAAGTTTCATACCTGGGCACTTTTGTCCTGAGTTATTAGTTCACTTCGGCCAATTGTAATCACAAACTCAGTTTATTTGCTCTGCTTAAGAAAGTTCATACTAAATATTACTAAAGTGATGATATCCTTATACCTAAAGATTGCTTCAACTTAATTAAATGCTTAAAGTGCTTTCATGTCACTTAGGCTAGATGATTATATCTTAACGCCATAAAAAAAACAAAATGTACTATTAAACAGTAAATTTAACCACTGGCGAATATTTTATCATTTCATCAACATTTGGTAAATAAATGTTGAATGAGCTTCATGCATTCGTGCTAATACTTCTGTAGTTACCTACTATTCAGATACTAATGTAGGCAAGTGAGGTGGCCAGTCACAATCAGCATAGGTAAGTCACTTAGCCATAAGAACATTAAAGACGTCGGAAGCATTGATCATGGAAAGTTGCCACACCACATTAGCACAAGTAGATGGAACTTTCGAAGTGAGTACCAAAGTGTTAGTGGTGTTGTTAATAGTGAAGAAGAATAGGCTTAGATAAAATGGTTGGAGAATGAACTTACGGAATAAAATGTAGGAAATAATTTTAAAACTAGGTGTTTAGGGCTAGACAAGAAGTGAATGCATCAGTACGGGTTTTGAGCCATGTGTCTCAAACCACTGGCCAAAATAATCACACGGACCCCAACTACGTGAAACCAGTATACCCACTCATTTCTATCTTATGGAATAAATTGCACGCTTTTTTGACCCAGTTTTACAACGAAGGAGGATTTTATGGGACAAGTTTTCAACTGCTAAAATGAATGCGAATACTGATCAATAGATGATAACCAACTGCACAAAGTGTAGTTTAGTGGTGGCTACTCATGAGAACTAATTGTCCATTTAAGCTCCCAAATGGTTCGAGGTTGAAAGCAAGACTACTAGCCAGGAAAACAGGGTTTTGTCCGATAAAATGATAGGTATATGCATACATTTTTATGGAAAATGTAATATAATAACTCGTTATAACCTGTTGGGTGAAGTCAGTTTGTAGGTCTCTCACTACCCAACCAATTAAGATCTAACTGTTTGGCCTAATACTTGTCCATTGTACCAATTATCCCAAATAATACGTATAAAGGCATGTAATCGCAAGTTCTCCCATTGATCTGAGAGTGCAATTCATCAGAGTTTTGCCGAACAAGATTAGGTCATTTTTTAACTAAGTCAATTGATAGGTCTTTAGGACAAGTACCCCTCTAATAAAGACTGAAAGGTAAATTTTAATTGATGAACTGAGGAATTTTAGGGGAATCCTCAGGTAATACTGTTTGTTTACGAACCGCTAAGTGATCGAAAACTAACTTATTAAATTTATTAAAGTTATTTACTGATACTAGAAAACGGAATTTTTAACATCCTCAGAGAAACAAATTTAAGGACTTCAATTTACTACATTCTACAAAATATAACAATGACTTCAAATGTTGTTCTTCTTTTTCATACAGATCTCTTCTGGTCAGAACTTGAGGGTAGAAGTGGTAGTATTCAAGCTGGTTTAAGTTTGGAATTCCCTAATTTGTACCAGTCAGCAATTGATATATTGCCTGAAGGTCCTAATGGTTTATTAGCTAATTTGGACTTAGTAAACACTGTTGTTCGACTAGCTGAAGCCCATTCTGTGGTAACACGTGTTAATAGTCAGGTAAGACACGTTAAAAGTAGTTTTCCCATATAGTTACTCTTCGATAAGCAGTTCGTTCAGTTTCAGTTTCTTGAATGTCGAGATTAGGCACAAGTACTAGGTAAAAATGGTAAATCGATTGAGGATGTAGGGAATTTTCACCAACTAAGGTTTTTGGGATTTGTCCTGTGTATGCCGAACCACCTTCTACCTCGACGGGCGTTGTTGTCTGGTGTAGGAGTAGGTTGGAAGAAAGCTAGGGGCGGGAAAACCAATATGTGGCAGCAGTTCATGAAGTCGGTGGCAACTAGACTGATCTATGTTATTAAGTGTAGACTAACTGGTTGGAGTCTGCGTGACCATTGTTAATTACTGACTGGATGCTTTGAGTGGCATGGCTCAGAATCGTTCGCGATGGTGCATGTGCATTCAGTCTTAGTCTCTCTTTAGAACCTAGGTCCTAAGATCTCACTATACCTCTTTTTCTTTTTCGATATCTAATCGTTTCTAATACTATTAATGCCGTTATTTCTTCTACTACTCTGGTATTTGCCTTAAAATAATTTCACCTCGTTGTGCTATGGTGGCGTAATATAGCGACTTAAACCGATGAAATATATGTCAGGTTCTACGTTGTGTATGTCTAAGTGACTGAAACAGTATGAATAATCGAATTGCACTGTATAAAGTGAACAACTTTGGGTTTCTGTAACCTTCATTTTCATTTGTTTTATTCGTTTGGGAATTATTATTCATCCATCTCTAAGTGTGAAATTCATTTTCAACTTTCACCTCTGATGGGTTACTTAGATACTGTGCTATACTACTAATAAGGCTCGGAATCAATTTTCAACATTCTAACCATACCCGTCGCTCAGGTTCGTGATTACGCATGAATCTGAAATCGGCTATTTTAAGGCAAAATAACTATACAAGTAACTCTGACGTCTAGCGAATTTCACTAACAAAGATTTCTTATCGTTATTCACTAGTCATCTGTCGGTACTAAATTATCTGATGCAAAATGATATTGTCTACAGTAATTGTACAGAATGTAGCAAATGATATCATTTATTCATCGTTATTGTTAACGCAGTTCTGTTTATCATGGTAAATAACTGATAAACACAGCACATATGGGATGGAAACTATGGTGCTGAGAATCGTTGGAAAGGACTAAAAACAGTACTAAACACAGCAAGAACAATTATCCTCGGGATAATTGATTAAAGGCAGGTTGCGATAGAGAAATTACGGGAGAAAAAATGATTACGAAACCTAGTAATCAAAATGAAGCAAATTAGAATATTCGTGTAGTAAGTTGTAGGCCGAAGATTTAACAATAAGAAGAATTATTCAGTGCAAAATAGACAACGAAAACGATACAAAGGAAGTACATACAAAAAAGTTGAATAAGGTTATTACAACAGGACATCAAGTCGCTCAAATAGCATCTTCCTCGTAACTGGTTAGAACACCCATCCAAAACAAAACTCAATAGATATTTTTGGTGTGAATCCAAGACAATTGAAAACAGAGGCCAAATATGCAAATGTATGAAGGAAAGCTTTAAAAAAGTGTTTGGAGTTACAAACGAAATGAACAGATATTACAGAAAAAGTGCAAGGATGATTGTGAATTACGGGATAAGAAAGCGCACGATAGAAACAACTATTGTACCCCGTTAGTTGTTCTGTATCATTTATGAATGTCTCTAGAAAGGCTATTGGGGTTTACTAACGCCAAGAGGGATGGAAAGGGCATATAATAATAAATATAAGCGCCCACCTATAACTAATTGACTAAAATCTTTTTTCTATATTATTTTTTTAGTGTTTTTCCGTTATATTTTAATAAGTAATCTCTGTTCTAAATTAAACGGGTATATTTTGATGATCAACCCCATCTATACAAAATTTTCGTGTCTTTGATTTCCTCATTTTTTTATACTCGCTTTTTTTTAGCCTTATGATTATAGACGGGTTACATTTGGAACTAGAATAAATGATATGATGGGGCTAATGAAGGCAGTATGGAATCAAGGATCAAATTCTCCAACTGGTTTACATGGTCCTCTAATTAATTATCAAATTCCTGCTATTACATTACGGGCAGAACAGAAACACCGATCCACAGTTCCACGTAGTTCAGAAGTTCTTTCAGTTACAAGGTAATAATATATGTTTCATACTGTTGGTTTCGTTTATAAAGTAAACAATAACAATATTTCCGGAATATAATAAGTTCATGTTATAGTTCGTTACTTTCAATCTCTAACTACATACAAGCTGATAAGTTTGTTTATTGCTAAATATTAATATCATGTTGATGTTAAAGATCTCAATTGTCCATTCATAAGGAATAAATTGTTTAGAATGTAAACAATATTAATAAGATTTTCCACAATAATTGTTTAGAATTATTAATATATTTGTAATATCCCAATGAGTAGAAAAATTAGATTTTCTGACGTTTCGTGACTCAATGTAAACCACTTCTTCAGAGAATAAATAATCAAATAAAAAAAACTGATTTGGTTATTTATTCTCTGAAGAAATGGCGTACAATAGGTCACGAAACATCAGAAAATCTCATTTTTTTACTCATTGGGATATTACAAATATGTTATTTATTTATACCAATTTATTCAATGCTCAGTTTATTCGAAATTATCAAGTCAAACCTTGATAACGATACCTACAATAATTGTTTAGGTTGATATTTGTAAAATAGATAAGATTATTAATATTTTTTTTAGTATAATATAAGAAAAAGAAAATCTAGGAGGTTTATGAATATAAATAAGAACGTGTCAATTTAACTTGCTCGATTATAATTGTAATTCATTGAACTGTTGATCACTTTAAATGAATACATAACATTCATATTGTATTCTGTGTCTATCGGATGAGATTTACTTTTAAAGACCATAGTTTCCTCGAAGGTGTAGGTTTTATTTTTAGGGATATGTCTTATAGAAAAAGTAAGTGACCATCTATTTGTCCTTCTAGTTTACATACTTTTAAATGTACATGTAAATAATATGTAATCTGTCTTTTTGTTGTTGTATTTATATATCAATCAGTCAGTCAGCTACAACGTAGGACCAGGCACATATATGCATCGTTCCAAGTTGCCATACCTCATTAACACAACAAGATGAACACTGGATTCATAAAAGTCGTTAATTCAGAGGTGGTAATATATAAAAAACAGATTGCATATAAGGATAAAGTACAGGAAGAAAGAATTAGTTCGTAGGGAGAAAGATACCACTGTAAATGTTTATTATAGTCGCTTCATATTCTTTCTTTGGATAAAATCATGTTTATCTATTAAATGGTGTTTTATAAACGAATATTATGTCATTATAATTACTTCTTTTTATATTGGTAATAATTATTTGTATAATTTCAGATTACTTGAAGGTATTCTTCGTTCGATAAATAATTTACAAGAAAGATTTCATCAATCATTTTGGTATTATTTTCTCCCTAATCCATATCGATATATTTCAATTGGTGTTTATATGCCACCAGTTTTGATCATGATTTTAAGCCTTTTATTAAAGGTTAGTTCTTTAAATGTTTTGATTTTACTTAATCATACTACTTATGAGTAGCTAGTAAGTTGTTACAATTAATTAACGGTGTCTTATTTACGCCTGTTACTCCTCATGAAGAAGCAAAGGTCGCTCACCAGCATTCTCCATCCAACACTGTCCAGGGCAATCCTTTCCAGCTCTTTCCAGTTGTTACTCATCCTTTTCATATCTGCTTCTGTTTTTCGACGTAATGTGTTCTTTGGCCTTCCTCTTTTCCGCTTCCCTTCAGGATTCCAATTTAGGGCTTGCCTCGTGATGTAGTTTGATGATTTGCGTAATGTATGTCCTATCCATTTCCATCGTCTTTTCTTAATTTCCTCTTCATCTGGAAGCTGGTTTGTTCTCTCCCACAGAAGGCTGTTGCTGATGGTATCCGGCCAATGGATGTTGAGTATCTTGCATAGACAGCTGTTTATAAATACTTGTACCTTGTTGATGGTGGTTGTAGTAGTTCTCCAAGTTTCGTGTGCGTACAGTAGAACTGCCTTGACGTTCGTATTGAAGATTTTGACTTTGATATTTGTTGAAAGTTGTTTTGAGTTCCATATGTTCTTCAACTGTAGGAATGAGGCCCTTGCTTTGCTAATCCTTGCCTTTACGTCTGCATCTGAACCTCCTTGTTCATCGATGATGCTTCCCAGGTATGTGAAGGATTCTACATCTTCCAGAGTTTCGCCATCAAGAGTGATTGGATTGCTGTTCTCCGCTCTGAATTTGAGGACCTTGGTTTTCTCCTTGAGTATGCTGAGGCCTACTGATGCAGAGATTGCTGCTACACTGGCCGTCTTGATCTGCATTTGTTCATGTGTATGCGATAGTAGGGCCAGGTCATCTGCGAAGTCCAAATCGTCTAATTGATTCTGAGCTGTCCATTGTATTCCGCGTTTTCTCTCAGATATCGGGGTCTTCATAATCCAGTCGACCACCAGAAGAAAGAGGAAGGGAGAGAGTAAACAGCCTTGTCTGACTCCGGTCCTTACTTGGAATGCATCTGTCAGCTGTCCTCTATGCACGACCTTGCACTGTAGTCCGTCGTATGAGTTCCGGATAATATTGACAGTCGTCTCAGGAACTCCGTAGTGTCAAAGAAGTTTCCTCCTGTCTACTCTGTCAAATGCCTTTTCATAATCAATGAAGTTGATGAACAGTGTTGAGTTCCACTCAACTGATTGTTCGACGATGATCCGTAGTGTCGCAATTTGGTCTGTACACGACCGATCCTTACGGAATCCAGCTTGTTGATCCCGAAGTTGGGCGTCTACTACGTCCTTCATCCGGTTCAGCAACACTCTGTTAAAGACTTTCCCTGGTACTGACAGTAGTGTAGTGCCTCTGTAGTATTCACATTTGCTCAGATCTCCTTTCTTTGGAATTTTGATGAGGTGTCCTTCTTTCCAGTCCATCGGCACTTGTTCCTCCTCCCAAATCTTTTTGGATAGAAGGTGAAGCATATTTGTAGTTACTTCGATGTCTGACTTCAGTGCTTCAGCTGGTATGTTGTCAGGTTCTGCTGCTTTCCCGTTCTTGATTTGTCTGATGGCCATTCTGATTTCTTCCGTCGTTGGTGGATTGACATCTATAGGAAGATCTGTGTGCGCTGCTTCGATGTCCGGTGGATTCATTGGAGCCGGCCTATTCAGGAGTTCCTCGAAGTATTCTACCCATCTGTTCCGCTGTTCTTGAATTTCAGTGATTGGCTTGCCTTCTTTGCCCTCGACCGGTCTCTCTGGTTTACTGTATTTCCCTGCTAGTTTCTTCGTTGTATCGTAAAGTTGTTTCATATTTCCTTCCCTTGCAGCTTTTTCCGCCGTCGTTGCTAGTTCTTCCACGTATTTCTTCTTGTCGGCTCTAATGCTTTTCTTCACTTGCTTGTTTGCTTCTATGTATTCAGCTTGTGCTTGGAATTTCTCTGCTCGTGTTCGGCTGTTGTTAATTGCTGTCTTCTTGTTCTTCCTTTCTTCGATCTTGTCCAGTGTTTCTATAGAGATCCATTCCTTATGATGGTGTTTCTTTAAACCCAGAACCTCTTGACATGTTGAAGTTAATGCTTCTTTGATACTTTTCCAGTTGTCCTCCATAGTAGTTTCTTCTTCCTTCAGTAGATCTTGTAAGGCTTGGAATCTGTTGTTGAGAGCTATCTTGAATTCATTGAGTTTGTCAGTATCTCAAAGGAAGGATGTATTGAACCTTTGCAGTGCTGTTTGTCCACTTGTCCAGTTCTTTTTTAGCTTCAATTTTAAATTGGCTACAACTAGATAGTGATCTGAAGCTATATCAGCTCCTCTCCTGGTTCTCACATCTTCGATTGTCCTTCGGAATTTTTTATTTATGCAGATATGATCTATCTGGTTCTCTGTAGTGTGGTCCGGTGAGATCCATGTAGCTTTGTGTATACGTTTGTGTGGAAATATTGTGCCTCCTATGATCAATTTGTTGAATGCACATAGATTTGCAAATCTTTCCTCATTCTCGTTTCTCTCTCCCATTCCATGTCGTCCTATGATATCTTCATATCCGATGTTGTCTATTCCGACTTAGGCATTTAGATCTCCCGTCAGAATGGTGAGGTCGTTTCTTGGACACTTCTCTATGATTGACTGTAGCTGCTCGTAGAATTAATCTTTGATGTCGTCGTTGCTATCATTGGTGAGTGCATAACATTGGATAATACTCATTGTGATCCCCTCCTTTGTTTTGAATGATGCTTTGATGATTCTGGATCAGTGAGATTCATATCCCACAAGTGCATTTCATGCTACTTTGGACAGCATTAGAGCAACTCACTGAGTGTGTGGAGCATTTTCCTCTTCATGACCGGAGTACAGCAGCATCTCTCCCGTATTTAGCCTTTGTTGTCCAGCTTGAGTCAAATGGGTTTCGCTGATTCCCAGTACTGCCAAGTTGTATCCTCATTTCCGTTGCTATTTGACTGGTCTTCCCGGTCTCCCACATTGTTCGGACGTTCCATGTACCTATAAAATGTTTTGCTCTGGTTGTTAGAAGGGGCATCGGCCTCGTGGCTTCCGAAGGAATTCGGCTTTCACCATGAAGTGTCATAATTCTTCTAAATGAAGACCTAACTTTCAGGGTAGAGTTTAAATGATTTGAATAATTTTTTCTGGTAAGCGTTTTTTAGCGAGTTAGTTTTCTACGGGATGGGGACGCTAACCCTATGCCCAACCCTCCTTTAACCGGGTTTGGGACCGGCAGTAGCTCTGGAAGAGCTACAGGCGGAGTTTAACGGTGATTAGTTATGATTTTATAGTATATTGAACTGTTGTTAACTTTTTTCTTGATACTAGTTCCCAACAATAAGAAATAAGATATAGATTTATTAAATTAGTAATTAATTTTAATCGTCATAGTCTAATATTCTTATGACGAGAGGTGTGTTGATGTCACTTTCCACGTATGTGGGGCACATGGCTCTGATGTCGAGAGAAGACTTCCATGTTGAATAAAGTATCATGTTTTGAACTGATAGCAATCAAGTTGGAGTTTACTTTTAATATGTATAACTTCAATATTTGGTTTATTCCCGACTGTCTTTCAGAGTTAAGACGATATCTTCCATATTCCAACAAATAATGGACACCATTTTACAGGATATCTGAGGTAATCCAGGTTATTCGGATGATGATAAAATGCATTACTTAAGCAACTTAATCTTGTGCTATCACATATAGTTGAATATGGCCAACGTCTCCTTACAGAAAAGTGTGAATTTTGTACACATCAGGTACAACATATTGGGTTCAGAATAGATAAAGACGGAGGATAGCAAAACCCAGAGAATAATAAAGCAGTATAAACTACGCTGAACTAACGCCAAATTATTAATCGATTGTCATTTAAAAACTAGGTGTTAACGTTGCTCATAGAAAAATAATTCTGTTGACATTATTTGAAACTTACTCTTTCATGCCATAAGATCATACTGAAAACATCGTCGTTGATCTTTCGATCCTCTGTTCGTAATAATTTCTGTTCTTTAATGAAATATTTTGATGTAACTTACCAAGGGTTATGTGGATATAAAGTATTCACTGTAGTTTTATCTGTTAACTTGTCTTTCCTTAAAACATAAACTCTCTCTCTCTCTTCTTATTATTATATAGTTTTACCACCATTGTATCATCGTTGTGTTTATTAGTCACTCAGTCTACCTAGGTATGTTAGATTCACTCTCGTGTCTGCCTAATATATGCACCATCAGCTGTATTAGCCTAAACAAAAAACTTTGGTACAAATTTTATATCAGCGTATCATTCATTTACTCTATACATCTGTTAATACATCATTTCTTTTCATTTACCGTATTTCTCAAAAACTTATAATTTTTTAGCCAGTTCTCTTTTGGATGTTATTAAATCAATCCGATTCGGATAATTATAATAATGATGATGATGATCAAATGATGATGAATAAAAAAATAGACTCGTCTATATTAACCAATTCCAATTCATCTCAATTAGATAATCATCATATTGAGAAATTAGTCGATGATAATACTCAATTAATTAATAATGACCAAACAATTCGTCAGCGTAATCAAAAAAAGTCAATCATTGAAAAACAATCGATTGTGGATGAAAGAAAAAATGATCAAAATGAAAAGGTAACTTTTGATTTTGATCATATTTATAAGGTTTTATATTTTCCTGTTGTGTAATATGGAGGACTGTAGTTATTCAGTCTCTGTTGGGAAGTGTGAATGATTGGCGAATTGTGTCGTCTTCACTATTTAGCCACAGGTTTTTATCAAAGCTATGTAGTGGTCATAAGTAGGATTCACAACACGTGTTTTGTTCTATATGGGACTTATCAACTAGATGTATCTTCATCTCAGTATTAGTGTCCTGAACATCAACAACAGAAAAACACAAGCCCTTACAACTAAAATCCACAAGCTAGTGGCTACTTGGACTCTGCACCTCAGTGAATAGTACTTTGGTTTTAGAATTGAAAGGTACTGAGTTCGTGGCGCTTTGTGAATATCAACACTAGGATGTAGGTGACTTCAACTGACGAGTCCTAGGTAAGACAAATTTCACGTCCTAAATTTGGGGCCAATCATCACACAACTTTAATAAAAACTTGTGACTAAATAGCATTGTCAAAGCAATCGACTCAGGCTTTACATATACCAATAGAAACTGACCGAAAATAGTTTTTATAATTCTTGTGCTTGTGTATTTTTATCATTTAAATCATGAACTTAGCTATACCATGGTTGAAAACTAAGAATTATTAGACAGCCTATTTGACCTAGTATTGAGACTCAGCAGTACATATTCACGATTGAGACACTGCAGATCAGACCCAGGGCCTTCGATCTCATACGCGAATGGTTAATCTTTTGACCATGAGCAACCATCTAATGGTGTTAATGTCTAGCTTCAATTAATTCACAATATTTTACAACTCTCATCCATTGGCGACGATGGATAGCTGCCATACCTACTTGTCAATAAAAGTTTTTATTATCTCAACCACAACTACTCATGACGGTTTTTACTATCCATTTCCAATTATATTCAGCTTACACTACTTACTTACTTACGCCTGTTACTCCTCGTGAAAGAGCATAGGGCGCTCACCATCACTCTCCATCCAACACTATCCAGGGCAATCCTTTCCAGCTCTTTCCAGTTGTTACTCATCCTTTTCGTATCTGGTTCTGTTTTTCGACGTAATGTGTTCTTTGGCCTTCCTCTTTTCCACTTCCCTTCAGGATTACAATTTAAGGCTTGCCTCGTGATGTAGTTTGATGATTTGCGTAATGTATGTCCTATCCATTTCCATCGTCTTTTCTTAATTTCCTCTTCATCTGGAAGCTTGTTTTTTCTCTCCCAGAGAAGGCTGTTGCTGATGATATCCGGCCAACGAATGTTGAGTATCTTGCGAAGACAGCTATTTATAACTACTTGCACCTTCTTGATGATGGTTGTAGTAGTTCTCCAAGTTTCGTGTGCGTACAGTAGAACTGCCTTGACTTTCGTATTGAGGATTCTGACTTTGATATTGGTTGAAAGTTGTTTTGAATTCCATATGTTCTTCAATTGTAGGAATTCGGCCCTTGCTTTACCAATCCTCGCCTTCCAGCTCACAGCGGATTATTTGAATTATCATTGACTATTAAATAATGTAGAAGAAAACTGTTAGGTACACTCATCGTCTGTGAAGGAGTTCATTACTATATATAATGGTTCATTCGGTGGACTATAGCGTTATACTTGCTATGTTAACATTGTGTAGTACTAATACATCTGACTAACTGGTTCAAATTCTAATTAGTAATAATGGCCAAATTTGTGCTATTCATTGTCAACTAAAAATTAATTAATTCAATCGATTAGATTTGACTCTTATAGTACAAGAATTTCATCTAGTTATACTGAGTGTGTATATGAATTATGCTGAAGTTGTATTTAGAAATATAAAATGGATCGATTTTTGGTTTGGCTACTGAGACTTTTTTTCTTGTAAATGATTCTCCAAGTTCTACTTTTTAAATTATACTAACTAGGATCACAAAATTTGGTGTAATAAGTACTTATACTATTGGTAATCATGTTACTCGTCTATTTCCTGTAGATCTGTATACTCGATGTTGAGCCATAGTCATAATCAGTGTAGAATCTGGGACTCATGTGTATTGGTTAAAGTTGCCACATTATACCAGCGCAACGAGATGAGGTTATCGAGACAAATTGAGAAATGAAAGTAGTGACAATATCAGTTGTATTAGGAAATATTCAGCATAGACACATGATTCGATGAGAAAGAGTGAATTCATGGATTGAGAGGAGTATAGGAGTTTTAAAACTCAAAGTATATATATATATATATATATATATATATATATATATATATATAGCTATTTTACTAAGAGACTTCTCTTTTTCTGCTTTTTTTTTACAGCAACTTGAATCTAATTCACCGTCATACTCTAGCGCTACTCCTCCATATATACTATGCTTAATTCTGCGTCTTACTTTATGCTTTTCTACGGGATTTTTACTGCATTCTTCACCCAAGTATTTATTTAAGTTATCCAACTTATTATTAGTTGGCAGCCAATCAGTCAGTTCCACTTTTAAGTTGGTTGATATATTTCTAATCGGTATTACTAGTTTGATAATTGCCGTCATGATTGTTTTACCAATCCTTATGCTTATCATAAAAAAGTAAGTTCTGTTTTTATTTATTGTTTTTCTTTCAAAGAAAGTGTGTAACTAATATCTGTTTTATATGAAATTGTCAATCAGTCGTAATTACTTTGGAGCCTGGTGCATATATGCGTTTGTCTGATCGTAGCCGCTATCCTGACTTGATTGTGAGACTTCAATATCGTAATCATCCAGTCAAGCTATTTTGTTTGAGAAGTTAGTTTCCCTAGGTCCAACCATCCTATACAGTTTGGTTAAAACGCAGTAAGGTCGGGCACAGAAAATTAAGTTCTGAGGGCGACGTTGTATTACTGGTTGTACAGGTATATAACCTCAGTAAGACATTGGTCTCAAGTAGCGTCTGTATGATGTTAACTTCTCGCAACGAAATAGTGGTTTATAAAATGTTGGGCCTGAAAACGGCACAACTCATCTTACTCGAGGGATTTCCATTGTCGGCGTTAAGGCTTTTGGAGTATGGAACTAGTACGTTTGAAAATACTCACAAGAAGCCCACGTGTCACGAACCCCAAGCAGTTCTTCCTTGGGCTCTGAGGTCACGCCAATAGATCATAAAGATCACCCTTAACCCACTTTCCATTTTAGGCGCCTTAAGAACTAGTATCCTACTACGGTGTTGACAACCAAGAAGTGACAACTGCCATCATATCTCTAAAAACACTTGGTATGGAATTGTATGCTAACTATAAAATTTAGATGAAAAGTCAACTTCTGCAGTCCCCATTTTCTGATACTTCACATTGAGATGGCTGTAAATCTCAACTGTCAGTATTCGATCTGTAACTAATCAACAGCTGAAAATTATATGACACTAACATAATCAACCAGTACTAATACATGTTCTTCAAGATATCAACTTCCGTATTTATTATATTTAATCATTCATACTTTTTGTATCTGTAGTTCATGTGAACATGCATATATGCATAATCAGCTACCTCAGATGAATGTTGAGCAACCAATGCAGGTTTTTAATTACTAAGTTTGTCATATGAGTATTTTTTTTTAGGTCGAATACCTTCTAAGCATTTGCTACATTAGTTGTAAGGTAATGTTTGTCACAAAAGGAAATTATCTGGTAAATTGTTGAAGATCAAGGATAGCACGATCCAGTCCAGTGACTATGGAATGATGCTAAGCTTTTGTTTACAAACCAATAGCCTTTGTTCAACTCACTTTTATTCTAGCCAGTATGACACGTTGAAGTAGGTAGCTGTTGAGCCCTACAACGAGCCTTTAACCCTTAGACCGCTGAGTTAGTATCTAACGGTCTACATTTCTAACTTTTGTTGATTCGCAATATATCACAATGATCATCTGATTCCATCGATGATGAGTGCCTTACTCTTGACATGGTTTAACTTCACCAGTTACAGCTTCTCACTAAAAATTCAGGAACTCATCTCGAAACAAATCAATAGTAAGCACATTATTGTATCTTTGTTTGATGGTTTTGTAAGGATTAGTTATTTGGATTTTGAAGTGTGAAGCATTAAATTCAAACTAAGCGTTTCAAATGCCAAATATCTATCACAAGAGGTTATATTTCCTAGATTTTGATATTTGACAAGTTCGTGAGTGTACGTTTCTGAGAAGTCCCATACTATGATGAAACATTTATTCAATGTTTTCTAACTTTTAGTAATATCCGAAGCTGGTGTCATTGATCCCTTGTAAACAATCGTCCGTAAAATTTTTTTCATTAAAAAATTATCCTCTCCTGTCATCATGGTTTTCCACTGTCTAATTTTTTCCTATTGATTTTCTCATATTTTATAGACTTTTGAATTTATATGAAGCAGATAAACAAGATCTTACCGGCCAGTTATGTCTTTTTAGTTGGGCATTATTTTTAAGTTGTTTGACATGCTTAAATATATCATCAGCTGTTGTTCTCGGTATTCCAATTGTTCCTCTGTTAAACCTATTTGTACAGAGAAAAGACAATGTCGAAATTAAAAAGTGAGTGTTTTTTTTCTTTGCAGTTTTTAATAAGAGCAATTTTGTAAAGTACGAATTATTTGTTGTTAACCTAATGTAAGCATCGTTGAACTATATATTCATAGTCAGCATGGGGTTATGAATTTCATTGAATGTCTGTAGAATCACTTACCAATCTAAGTTAGACAACCATCGAGAACCTGGGAGCACTGGATGGCCGTTTTGTTCTAGCATGGGACTCCTTAGCAGTGCACATCCACGACTCCGCAACCGGAATTCGAACTTAGGACATTCAGGCTTGCGCACACTGACTGGGGTTAAATATGTACACCATTGAATCACAGCTTACTCGTTTAGAGGTTAAGCATTCGCACACAAGACCGAAGGTTCCGGGATCTGTTTCCAGTTGCAGAGTCGTGTATGAGTCATATTCGAAGACAAACCAGTTTCCCATTGCTTTCAGGTTTCCAATGGTTGTCTAAATTAGATCGGCTCGTTATCTCAATATGTACTCATAATTATCACTGTATCATACATAAGCTAAAATAACTTTGTGGATCAGTACTTAAACCACAATTTTTGTGTGATCAACAGGATATCATTGTCAGAAAAATCTATTACAAAATCTATATTAGTATTTGCTCTGTCGTCTAACGTCCACTTTATACCTTTGTATTCCTTAGAATTCCTTATAATGTCTGTCTATAGCTGTTAATGAGGATGATATATGTTAAGTCTCTAATAAACCCCCATATATATATATATATATATATATATATATATATATATATATATATATATATATATATATATATATATATATATATATATATTCGGATTTAACATAAGTTTTATATGTGAGAAATCTCGATAGGTCTAGGACTGCTAGAATAGAGACTGCATAAAGGCTCTTTGAGTAGCTAAGCGCGTTAGGTAATGTCATTTGTACATGAAGTTCCCAATTATATGTGTAGACAATATAAAAAAAAGACTGATGGATTGATTCGAGCCTCATTACTCCACTCACTTCGATTTGAGCAACTATACATCTACCGATCTATCGTATGCATAACCTGCGCCTCAATATTCTGTGGATTATTCCATGCTTCGTAAAATTGATTTGCACCATGCATGTCAGACTGCAGCTCCAAAATGGATTGAGTTCTTAAAGTAACACAAATCAGGTAAATACATACATTAGTTATTGTAACTGTTGATATCGATTTAAATGTTACTTTTTAGAAAAAAATATTTGGAAATCAGTCACCGGTTGATAATAATTCCCGTTTGATGTCAATAAAGTGATTGCCAAATCTAACTATTTATAGATCTTTTTATTATAATAATAATAGTAATGAATTAATTAAAATTAGACACGTACACCATTGAATGTCGGCTCTATGGTCTAAAGGTTTAGTGTTCATGCACAAGACCAAATGTGCTGCAGTCGATTCTCAGTTGCGGAGTCGTGGACGCACTTTGCCGATGAGTTCCATACTAAATCGAAATGGTTGTCTAGTGCTTCCACGCTTTAAGCGGTGACCTAACTAGTATAAATGCTTGATATAAAATCTATGAAAATACTACTACTAATAGTAATAATAATATTTCTGTTCACAATCCTTTATTCCAGATCATTTACAATGAAACTAGTAAAATGTTTCACTATCATTGGCTGGTTAACTACATTTACACCGATATTAATTATTGTAATGTGTATCATCAATTCTAGAATTCAACAACAACATTATCCAATAAGTGTAAATGCTGTTCGAAATTGTTATGAAAAATGCATTTTACAAAGTTTGATTGAAGCAGATTTATTTGGTTGTTGGACATGGCCAGTTATTACATGTGGATATACATCATTATGGTTATTAACATGGTTAGCTATTTTCTGAATAATGATCATAATGTTAAAGGAATAGAACATGGAAACGTGCATGAATTGTTATTGTGCAAAAATATATCACATAATTCTGATATAAACTTTGTCTTCTCATTGCATTATGGAAAATTAATTGTTATTGTTGTTTCATTTTTCTTATGTATATTTTTCAATTATCCATTTATCAGTTCATTTTTGTATCTAATATATATGTATTTGTAATAAATTGTATTCAGTTGATGTGTTTTCTTTTGTTTGTGAAGTTTTGTCTTAGATTTTATAAGTCTCATCTAAAGATAAAACTTTTGCGGGTACATACTCTACAACGCCTTTGTTTTCTTTGATTGAGATCACGAACCGATTGATGTTAGATCACCTTTGGAAACCCGGAAGCACTGGACGGCCGTTTCGTCCTATTGTGAGACTCCTAAGTAGTGCGAGTGGTCACTGGTCACGGCTTCTCACCTTTGTTTTCGTCAACAATTAGTTCAGCTCAAAATTTGATGAAAATGCATTTCGTTTAAATACAGAAATATTCTGTATTGTATTTAGTTGGAATTTGTTATAACCTGTGACCTGTGTTCCCTGCTAATGTATAACGTAACGATACCGCTAATTAGTGAGCAGTGACTTATCGATCGGACCAATGACGCGTAAACCCGTATGAGCAGTCTAGAGTCCTTATTGGTCCCACTTCCTGTCTAGTCCAGCCAGTTAAGTCCAGAACACCAATCCGAGCCTCTGCGATATGAATCGTGTATTTCAAACACACTCGGTCTATATACCAATCAGACAGACCACATCGTACCAATAAAATACGAAACAACATTTGTACAATAATTAGCCAAATGTGGCTGTGAATGAGGGAGGTATTAATTAATAGACAGGGCATAATTCAATAATAGTAGATCGTATAATAATAGTTCATAGGTCAAAATAAAGCTCATAATAAGAAGGAAATGAATATGAATAGTTTAGTCATTTAACAATTATATGATGGGGCATAACAGAATTACTTAGCAAATAAAACTTATTATGTAGATTTGATATTCATTGGCTATGTTGATCTATTACAACTTTCAAAGATGATTCCTTAAAAGTGTAAACCACTGGTGTTAATGATGACTACTATTTTGTAAGATTAGGTCAGTAGTCGCTTAATGTACTGGTTTACTGTTATTGAGTTTCAAATAGAATGAAACGCTCGTCTTAGATCCTACTATTCGTCTCGTTTCATATGTAGTCGATAACATTTAGTCAGCATTAAATAATTAGTAGTTCGACAATGATTATCTTTAAACAATTATTCATAATGAGGATTGATCATTAAATGTTAATCATCTGCTTGAAAATCTTTCCTTTTCCGCACATAATAGACCGTTTTGGTAAAAATGAAACTTTTTATTGATTATAATAGGAGTATTAGTAGTAGAGTTATTAATTGTTCCTAAATAAATATAATTCTTTATTGAGTGTTAGTACAGATTTAGGCTCGAATACTCATTTAGGCTATCATTGTATTTGCATAAACAAGGTTATAATTGGCCTAGTTTTTTCAACTATTTAATCTGAGATATGGTCATCTCCCAGATGAACGGAAACCAGCTGTAGGACAGATGAAAACGAGATTAATGGTTAGTTTTTCTTGTCTAAACCGCCTTAGTGATAAGTTTTATCTTCGTAACCAACGGTTAGAGACTTTTTGTAACGTGGGTCAGAATCATCCAATATGGCACAAATGCACTCACTCTTCACCCTCTATTAGAACCTAGGTTTCCAAATTGTCTTAGTTTTTTACAACTTATGAACCCATATTTTCGCCTACAATCATGTTTCCTATGTTTAGTCTTTTTTACTACTTTGGGATTTAGCTTGATGACTTCATCTCGCTATGCTAATGCTGTGCGGCCACTTGAACGGAATCACATATGTATAGGGTTAAATGTTCATATGGCTGACTGATTGCACACCGAATTGTTTTATCAGTGAAAATCTAAGCGTGATGTATTAATTTTATGCCTTAACAATTCGTTAATTACTTAAGCAAATTACAGTTTTAATCAAAATGAATATAATGTTAACGCTGTATTACATATAATGAGGTTCAACCGGTTACTGCTACTAGTTAGATGTCACTTTGATTACGGTAACGGAAATCCAGTAGTTTGATTAATCACAACATATTTAGTTGTTTATTTCAGTTACGTCAGGTTAACTGCAGACAGAGATTATTCATGCAGAAAAGTGGAAAACATGGTATATTCAGAGATTCTTAATGATAACATAAAAAATGTCATATTGGTAATTTAATTTGTCTAGGATATAATGTCAATCCGATTGGTAACTGAGTTGACTACAAATCAAGATGACTCACTAGAATTTCATAGAATCCACTTTGATTTTAGTCACTAGTAAGCACATAATTATTGTTAAGTGATATTTAGAAGTTTCTTATTTTTCAATTTCAATCATATGATTTGGTGAGTCATTATCAGCTGTTACTATTATAATTGACAATTTATTATTTATTTATTTAAACACAAACATTGGTACAAGGAGGCACCAAATACATATGCGCCACATAAATCATTCGATTTGTGTGAGGGCTGTGATACTGCCCGGGTGCCCAGACCGAAGCAGGTGGTTTTCATAGGGCCTTTGACCTAAAGGTCTGACCCATAAGGCAGTGGAGCATCGTGAGGAGATGCAGTCCCATGGTAGCCGGTGACCAACCATTGGTTCATACGCCATTTGTTCCCGCAGGATACTTGAGCCCATGTGCACCATTGGTTTGGAATCCGGTTAGAGCGCCGGACATTCGCTTTTCGTCCTCTCATTTTCGTAAACAACAGCCGCGCCACGAGAAGGCAGTGAGTAGGACTTCCCTGGCAGGGGCTGTATACGCGTGGCCGTGTGAGAGTATTTCGAGAGGGAGGACGGGCCCACCCCACTCTCGGCTATACCAGGGCATTTGGGGGCATAATTGACAATTGATAATAATTTATACTGTGTTTATATGAGGCGGAAATGGTGTGAATAATAAGAACGTAGTAAGAAATCACAGTAATGTACCACATGAATTTTGAATGAGACAGATACAATAAACCAAGTTAATTCTTATTCATTTAAAAGTTCATTTTTTTAACCAATCGAACACCATCTAATGATACTCAATATAGATTACTTATTATATTGATCTGCATATTTAATTAAGTTTACGGTTTATTAAAAGTAAGTGCTAAGGTAACACACGTTGGTATTTGGTTAAATTAACTTCTACCATTTTGTTTTAAAACTATTAATCATTATTTATAAAATCTTTCAGATAAATAATTAACATGCTAACGGTGTATGATATTTAGTGTTATTCAAGGACAGTTCAGTATTCAAAATACACAGTTGAGCTCTGTTATGTATCAGCTTTATTTAGATGAACTGTTTTCTCTAATATATATATATATATATATATATATATATATATATATATATATATATATATCAAGAATATTCTTTTGATTAATGTCGGAAGGATTTTTGTGGATATTATAGTAATTTTAATAGTTGAGATCATGAGTCAATTGAAGTTAGACTATCATGGAAAACTTAGAAGGGCTGGACAACCGTTTCGTCCTATTGTTGGACTCCTCAGCAGTGGGCATCCACGATCCCGCCTCGCGAGATTCGAACACAGGACCTATCAGTCTCTCGCGCGAGCGCTTAACCTCTAGACCACTGAGCTGGCGGGCATCAACGGTGTTAATGTCTAACTTCAACTAATCCACGAAATTGAGCGACACATCCACCGTTGGATGCCGGCCAGCTCAGTGGTATAGAGGTTAAGCGCTCAAGTGCGAGACTGATAGGTCCTGAGTTTGAATCTTGCGAGGCGGGATCGTAGATGAGCACTGCTGAGTCCCATACTAGAATGAAACGTTAGTCCAGTACTTCCAGGGTGGTGTAGCTTCAATTGACTCACGATCTCAACCATTGAAATATTCTTTTGAGTTAATTTTGAACTTATGTGAATAAAAGTAGAGGGTATAGAATCGTCCACTGCGTCCGCGCAATCATTGAAACCCATGGTTAAATACATTGGGTGAAATGGCTTATAATCTGCAGCAAATGCGTTGATGGATTCTATCTCTGTCTAAATATACGTATACTTCCTATTCATCAAACTCATCCCTTGTATATTCACGCCTAATCTTTTCTACTACTAATCTCAGATTGACAAAAATAATTTTACTTCGATTTGGTGTTATAACGTAGTATTTTGAGTCGATGCATATATAAGCAAGGTCTTACAACGCTCATGACTCACTACTATAAACTGTTTCAAGAAATGCCTTTCTGAAGTGAACCACATATTATTCGATGCAACATGAAATTGTCGAATTTTAAGAACATCGTATCGTATTTACGTCGAGCTATTTTCTCAGTATCCTACATATTCGAAGTTGATGAATTATTCTGCAGACCGGACATCGACTTTTACTTCGAGTATGAGCAGCTCCACAGTATATACGGAATTTGTCACCGATATTCTTGATATAAAACAATGAATTATGCCCGAAGAAGACATAATCAACATATTTCCCAACTTGGAAAGATGAGGCGTAAACTATCTCTAACATCTCATGAACATCGGCATCAGACCTGTAGGTGTGCAGATCAGTAATTTGAGATCCTACTAATTTGAATCACATCTAAAATACATATCAATCAAAACCCTTCTACTAGTATCTCGCTCCAGTCAACATTAAATGTTGAGAAAACCAGTGAGCAAGAAGGCGCAATCGTATTAACCAACTGATATTCCTCTAGTGGTTTCCTCTCCAGAGACGAGTTAAACTTTCAGCAGCCTAATCACAAAGCTCAATTCTGAGATAAGATATCGAAAATGATTTGCCTTGATGAATGAGGGATTTATTGACTATCAATGCTTTTCGTATCTATCCTGAAATATGACACGAAAACTAAATTTCAAAATTGAAGGATAACATAAGAACTTTGACTTATTGAAGGCGACAAAAGTACTTGCGTTCACATTAAAAGGTAATCTGTAAAATCACTTAAGGTTATGTAATTCATTTAAAAGAAAAGCTTTTATGCATTCAAAGATATATTTCTTGGTGTTTTGCGTTAAGGCACAAATAGTAGCAAGCAATGAGTAGAGTAGAAATGGAATGTAAAAAAAAAGAAATACAAGAGATTAGCAAAAATGAATGTATACGTGTGTATATATTTTTAAAAGTTAGAAAGTGTGATGAGTATAAAATTCAATTTGCTGTCAGTTGATAATAAAATTATGTTTGGTTTGTTTGACCTTCTTCTTCTTCTTGACCATGCATAATCATTCGTGTAAATTCTTTATAATCAAAATTCCCATCTTGAATCGGTGCACCATGGAATAATTCATCAACTTTCTCATTAGACCATCTATCCCCCATTGTAGTCATTAATTCACGTAAACGTTTCTCACTTATTACACCTATAAATAAATAGAATAAATACATAATTAGCATTTAATTTAGGTGGTAATGATAGTCGAAAAAAAGCATTACTATGATTTTCGACAAGCATGGGACTTGAGTTTGCCCAAGTTACTATTAGTTGGCTCGTGGCATCAAATGTAGTTCAATATGATGTAATAATCAACTAATTTGCCGGTACTTGAGTATGAGTCACACGTCCTTTGCAATCTGACTGAGAATTTTTTTATTTCATTAAAATCACTGAATAATTCTTAATCATACCTTTACTCTGCATGAATGGTTTGTAGTTTTATTTTGTAAAGCATGTGTGAGGTAAAAAAATATCAAATAATTAACACGCGCAGACTAATTTATTTTCAGTTTCCTGCTATTAATTTGCTCTCATTAAAAAGGATAATGAGTATCTTTTGCATAAATTACGAGGAATTGATAAAAAATAGGATATCTGCATGTGAAAAGCTTCAGTAACAAACATATAGTTCGATAGATTAGATAATGGAATTCAATTGTATCATCAGAGGTCAGGATATGTAACATTTCAGCAACGTTCCTGAATTTTGTTCATTACTGGGACAATCTTAGTATATACCTCATAGCAAGCGATTGTAATATATCACAAATGAGCCCGGAGGAAAAACTGTTACTAAGTCGACAGACTAGTTATTCAAACTGAAACATAAACGAAATTTGAACCAATGAACTGTGTATCTAGACCAATAACCGAAACTTTGAAAAGCTAACACGGAAGAACCGAACACTTTAGTTGTCAAGACGGATCCCATTGAAAGTTGACTAAAGATTTGTGGTCGGTAAATTAATCAGTTACATGTAAGTACTTTTACGAATGGTGTTAAAATCAACAATGTGTGGCAAAATAACACATGAAGATGATGTATAAATTTGGAAGGGAATTCGAGTTTTCGTTATAAATAGGATTTCTTGTGGTCGGTTTTATGTCCCACCTACATGGAGACAGGCCAGATTTCGACAATACTTTCATACTGTTTTACTTGTAGCAATGTGACTTATTCTAAATCTGGACAGACGAATTAATCTAATGTTCTTATGTCATTATATACACATTCACCCTAATTAGTTATTCACATATAACCTTCGGCGTTTTTATGTGTGTCTGTTTGCTCTATTCGTTATATGTTTTCAACTTGTATTTATATGTCTCTACAGATATTCAATGACATTTTCTAAAGCTGAGTAAAGTGGAAAGCCTTTCTATGCACTCTCTTACGGCCAACATGCAAAACGTTTGTACGAAATATACCGATCCAAAATAAAAGTATTAAGCCTTTTGATATACCGCCAGCACAAGCCCATGAAGTCACTGACAAGTGGACTGAGTCATGTTGGTAGGTATAGACTACCTGGTTGGGGACCGCGAGATGATAGCAACCGATGGTTAGAGACTCTGAATGACATGGTTCAGAATCGTTTGCAATGGCGCAGGTGCATACACTCTTTGTGTTCTCCCGAATTATAATCTCCCGATTCCTCCTTGTCTCTTTTTTTCTCTTTCCCAATTTATTTCACTGTATTACACTCTTTAAATAACATCTCCAAACCCTAACCTTTCAGATTGCTTATACTCTTACTACCTCTACCACTACGGGATTTGAATCGACAACTGCATCTCTGTGCTAATGTATGGCAACTCGAACTGATGTACGTACGTACGAAGTCCTACGTTGTTACTGACTGACTGACTGATGTACCGCCATTTTAAACGTGTTAATTAGACAGAATATAAACGAAGAATGGTAAGATGTATATATTTCACTAACAGCATTATCATCTAACCATGCTAAATTCAAACTGACACTAAACATACTATATATGATTGTGAACAGAACATATACACTTGTGAGCTTTTGAACCATTTCAACTTTTTGCACTATTCATTAAAGAGGACTATATAAAGATTTATTAGAAATATCCCACTGAAATGAAGTGATAGTTTTCTTATGTAATGACAAAAAACATGAAACAAAGGGATACATATAAGTTCATTACACATACCTGTCCCCTCAGGATCAAAACAAGCAAAAGCATTTAAAATCGTTTCTTCCGGATCACACCCCATCATTTTCTCACCAAATAATGTTAAAAACATTGTGAAATTTATTTGACCGGGTGCTTGTGAAAGCATATCGTTTAAGTACTCGTCGTTTGGCGATTTTCCCAAAGAGATGAAAATATCTTCTAAGTCATGCTTATCAATGACACCATCTTTGGTTGAATCAATCATTAGGAACGCTTCCTGTTTAAAAGATTGAAACGATGAACGATAGTACACTAAATAATACAGACAGTAGTTCAAAAGCTTCTAAAGAACTTTTGTAGTTATATACTGACAGAAATATCTTAAAACTTTTGTAAACGACAACCATGTGGAACCTTTGGTATTGGTTTGGAGTACTATGGTTAGGCTGTCGTAGTCCTCTTTAATCTAACACCAGTCCATGAAGTTATCGACAGTTGGGCTGGCCTGTATAGAGATGTGGTTTTTGGTAGCAGTAATTTACGGTTAAGGACTTTTAATGACGGCTGAAAAGTCGTGGTAGTGATGATGATACATACGATATTATTCTTGCTTTAAATTATGTCCCAATATCGTCTTTTCTTCAACAGAGATTTTTCTTTATTTCTGTAGGACTACACTTCCTTCGTTTAGATCTCCCCACAATTTGCTAAATAACTTCCTATCTACTTACACGAAGTATGGCAGCTAACGCCGAGGTACATTTGTGTAGAATCGTAACCTGCTAACAGTCTCTGTTAAACTCAAATCAAAGCACGAACTTCCAGTAAACTTCTCAAAAATATCTCCTCAGCTTAAATAAGGAGTTATCTTAACTAATAATAAACCCAAATGATCAAAAATAGAGCTGTAATAGTCTGCAATAAACACTACTATGTATTTGGACAATTTAGCTAAAGGTAAGACAAAAGTTGCCATGGTCAAATTCGCAGACTTCGAAACAATTTCGTCTACACTTTACGTCTCACATCCTATGGACTATAAAACAATGTATTTGTTCAAAACTCAGCAGACTGGTGGGGATTTACAGAATCAACTTATAAAGACCCTGAATCCGGGAACGTACTATTTATAAACCTTCGATGACATATCTATATTCCTGCTGGCAGTGAGAGGAAAAGATTATTGCGGAGACTCATGAATGAACAACATAGTTTTTAATCGCGGGCTTTTAGATGAGGAAGTGATGAAAGCCGCATGTTCGTATGTGTTTTCAAAAGTAGACCCTGTTGCAAACAAAATTATCGAACTTAGTTCCAGTCAAATGATTGTAACAGTGACCTGTTGATATAATAGATGTTTACGATATAGGCCTGTACCTGATTTTTACCAACAAAATGAATAATTTTCTAAGGTCTGGAGAATACAATATGGCATATTGAATATTACTTTTAAGAAAGTTACAAGCCTACCTTGAATTCGCTGATTTGAGCTTCATTAAACATGGAAAAGACATTTGAAGTGAACCGCTGAGTGCGAGTACGAGCTCTACGCTTAGTTTTCGTACAGGCCATCTTGTTTGTTTGAAATACCGCTTGTGTTAGGCAACCAAAGAAGCCGCCTGGATATTTTCACTATTTAAAAGCCAGTAGCCAACGTCCAACTTGAATAAAACTAGTCATGAAAATAATAAAATATATTTGGGGCAAATTGGCGTTGGAAGTTATCGAAGAAAATTTGGTACATAATTTTATGTCACTGTGATGCTTATAATATATATTTAACAAGAGGATTTACTGTGGTCGAGGATAATGGGGATAGTCAGTCAACTAGATGCTTTAAAATTTTCGTATAACCGAATCATCGTTTGGATGGTGCACTAGAAAATCCTGCCGTCGATTGACTTTTTATCGAGCTTCCTCAATGTTATTTATTACCTATATTGGACTGACATACTGATATGGTGAAGTAAGCGTGTTCTGTCGATAAAATTGGGTCGAAGTTACTGAAAAATATTGTTTTAGGTCACTCGACCACGAAGTATATTGGTGTTTGTTTAAATCTTCGTTTAAATTCTTCCCATAAAATGTAAACACTTTGGCTCAAGATTTTCAGTATTTTGTGTAGGGGTATTTGAGACCTGAAATTTTATTCGTTGTCAGGATAATTTTTGATTTAAAAATGTATATATAGATGCTTCAGTGGCTGTACATCTGAGTGCGATTAAACCCTATGTTGATTGTTATTGATGTTTCGGACCTGGTTTGAATGCTTCATATTGATGACAGAGTATTTTCGTTGTGTTTCAAGACCCATTATCGTTTATTCGTTTGAAAGAAAGCACATTGGCCGTTAATCCGCTAGTTCAATCAAATGCCCAAATTATGTAGCACTTATCATAGTGGTCGAAACATGGAATAATTATCATTTAAAATTCAATTTATCATCAATATTTGTGACTGGTAGATATAAGGGTCAATGGTCATACTATCTATAAACTTTCAGTTAATAAATGAGTGAGTTGTTTCATGACAAATATTGGTTAGAGGTGTTTCGAAAAGTATTTATTATCAAAAAAGGTTAGGGTCTCACTTTGGCATTAGTTTGCGTATACATCCACCTAGATTGATACACTTATTCTAATACTGTACATTTGTTATGGTGTAGCGGTCCAATCCATATGATCATACACCGAAGTTCTATCACTTTCTATTCCGAATTCGCCTGTCGTGTGAGTAGAGATACTACTTTTTGAGATCAATTGAAGAATGGGCACAATCTTTTCCCCAGAATATGTTTTATATAAATACAAAAACTATGTTTGTGGCGACCAAGCTGAGCTACGCCGTCTCAGTCATTTTTCCTTATTGGTATCTAAAGCATCACCAATTTTTATGCATTCTTATGTATCTTGTGTTTTATCACCTGTAGCAGAAGTGGTTCAAAGTGATGGATAATTTGTGCTAAGAGCTAAGTGTTATTGTACAGTCTGTAAAAGCTCGAATATACACTTTGTTATGCGTCATACACGTTGTGAGTAATCATTGTGGATGCTGTCTTAAGTAGAAATTGACGAGCAAGGGTCTGAAAAAATCAAACTTACTTCACCTAAACGTTGTATGGCCTCAGTAAAATGGATGCGTAATACGGATTCATTGTCTCTTGACGTAGCTTGAGAGCCGATAAGTGACCACAAAGCTTGTACTGTTTATTTCAGATGTCGGTCACTATTGGACTTTGTATCGGCCCCATAGGCTCTATCCTTACTCCGTGTTGCAAACCTGCTGAGAAAGAGATGAGTGGCTATTCACAGGACAGATTTTCAAAGCTTTCTTTATGTGCTTGTAGGTTATACTACCATAGACAGCGTTTGTAATGACTTTTATTCATGTAAATTAACATGTGACAATATCGCCAGTCAAAATATTGAATTCTATGATGTTATCTCTGTTATAAACCAACGACTCGTCAACCGGTAGTGACAGCCTTTAATGAACTGCGGATCATTGTCAATTGACAGTACATTAGCTTCTCGCCCAGCGCTAAACGTTGAGTCCATGACACAATATTCGCCTCTACTGAGTGAATAGGAATTCTTAAACATATGTCTTATACACAAACAGAACGGGCTGAATTACACGATGTAACGAAAAATAACTAAAAAATACCAAGTCAAAAGTCTCTGAGTGCATAAGAGACTGCAATTAGGAGTAGTAAGTGTTATATTAGTGGGTAATAAAACAAATGAAAGCTTATAATAAAGGGAATACAAATGCATCTAGCCTAGTTATTTAATGATTGCACAATAAGGATATATGTGATAGAGTTCTAAAAATATCAGTGGTATTCAGAATCTGCTAGAGCCTTAAACAGTAATGCTTTCATAATCGACGTATATCGACTCAGTCAAATCATAAGTCAAGAGTGAAGAGGTTCGAAGATATATATCGGTATGTGGAAGGAACGTTTGGTCTAAGAGTAACCGAGCGCATTCGGCTAGATTAGTCCAATCAAACTAATGCGGCCAGCACCAAATGACGAAGGCTTACAAAGCTATTGATTTTGAGGATTTATTTACCACTATAGGTCTATAAATATTTTCGATAAACAACCATTCGTTTAGTATTCTTCGGAAACGTCAATGTCTTCTTGGTAATGAATTTCTCCTAAGAATTGTGTGAACCTATCGGTAACGCTCTTCCTTTGAACCTAAATATTCTTCTTGCAGATTCATTTCTCATTGAGCGGAATTAGATATTCGTGACAGAACCAGTGGTTTGGGATAATTTTTGTTTCAGGCCCCTGAGTTCGATTCAAGATCATGTTAATCATCAGCATTAAGTACTTTTCTATCAGAGTTATATTTCCTCACCCAAAATAATGTGTGATGATGTTCCATATTGGCACTGGTGATAACGAGGTACAATATTTAAGGCTAGTTATCCATATACCTTACAAGTGTGAGATTTGCACTTTCAAAATATTGCTAGCCAGTTCATGAATTAAGGGAATCGTTAATATATTATATAACCAAAAGTATGAAGTGACAAAGGAGACATTATTTGTCGTTTAAAAGTTCACCTCCGTATTATTGTTGGGATGAAATATAAACCCGAAACCCGCAGAATATGCTCTACCATATGACGACTGACTAAATTTATTCATTTGTAGTAGACTTGTGTCCAGCTTTGAAGATTGTGTGGTTATGATTCAATGCCATTACACATTTGAAAGCAGACTCTGATTTATGACTGCACTAGTCAGGACTAGATTCTAAATTGTCCGCGCAAAGGGCTGGAATACGAGAAGGCACAGGTCAATGAAATCGAGCTATATGAAGGAGAAATTGCATCCGACCGATTATGAAATGGAGAGGAGTAAGAGGTTAGCGGAATTAGGTTTTATGTAGTCCAATTGAATATTGAGTGCGTTTGCCAGTGACAGAAAATGTGTGTGTGCTAAAGTGAATCATGGTCAGTAAATTGTTGTGGAGGTGTGCTTGCATTTTAAGCGAATCATTATGTGTTTTAGTCGTTTGTTCGAGTTTATAGTAGTACTATTATGTATAGTTGTAACGAACTTCATTGCAACAAGGGAGCTAGTTTTCTAAGTGCGCATGATTACGTCTCAAGAAAAAGGAAAGCGGAAAATGGCAAGTGCCGCGGTTGGAACAGTGCCGTCCTTATAGAGAACGAAATACAGTGTGTTTAACTATCCATAAGTGCCAAACCAGAACTGGTGAACGAACAATAGCACAGGAACCTGTTCATTTTACAGTGACACGAAATTCATTCACAGAAGTGTTCATAAGCGTATCGATACTAGAACCTTTAATCAGTTGTTGGGAATAATAAATGTTTCTAACAAACGGTACTCGTAACTCGATTCAAGGACGGAATGATTTAAACCATTCAGTCCAAACAAGTAGAATCAAAGAGAGGTGAGTCAGTAAAGTACCTAAAAACACTACAGGTGAGGGTAAATAAGATCTCTGTGAACAAGGAAAAGCAGAATAGAAGCAATGAAAGCACGAGGGTTTTTTTTACTTAAAAAGAGACTGCAAGTAGATTCAACTCCTGTTCATGTATTTATCACCCCATCGATATACTAGGGTTACCCATTCTTTCTGTGAATAAAATATCTTATCACGATGATCTCACATTGACGCTAAATCCTTTTCTGGTTATGTTGAATGATTTTTAGTTTTCATTAATATGAACTTTTATTGTTTAGTCCAAGAAGCGGTCATATTTAGTTAGATCTTTTGGCTTATAGCGACTCACGTGCAAATGAGTTTAGTCTCATCTAACGCAGCTAAGCCCTTTTGCTAACTCATTTAGCGGACAAAGTCATCCGCACTATAACAACTTATTGTACCCTTACTATTTTGTGCTTGTATGAAATACGTATATGCTTGAATATTGCTTACGGCCTACGCATTTATTTACTCTGCTAGTCTTACTACTAACTGATTATTTGATTCGATTACTCATTCATTTCACATGCTATATATATATGTCCATGTTATTCATACTCACTCACTCACACACTCTCGTCTCGCTCTTGCTATGGCTCTCGCTCGCTTGCTTGCCTTTCGGCACAACTCTTCTATGTTTGTTTAACGCATCTGTACATTCGGATATATGTGTGTGGTTTCGTAATAAACGTAATCAACACTTCATATTTGCCTTCTGAATAATATACCGTTGGGACGTTATATAGAACGGTTATCAAGACGAACTGCACACGAAGTTTAAGGATTATATCGAATACCGACCACCACAGGCTCTTTTTAGTCTATGTATTTATGGTGCTTGTATGAACTAATGATTCCTTTGTACATGGTGTTTGGCTGATTTCGGATTCTGAATATAATACGTTCCGTTGCGCTAATCTAGTTCTGTTTGGTTTAAATTGCGCTATTCTGGGGATTCTCAGTTCGTATAATAATTCAAATACTTCTGACCATCACAGTATTGCTCATTCCAAAATTTAATTGCCAGTTCGTTAGTTGATGCCTAGATATTTTAGCAGAACATACTTCTTTAACGTCAGTATAATCATATTATTGTTCGGACATGTTTCATTATCATTGTTATATTAACGAATGAATGCAGTTACAATATCCATTAATAAGTGAA